ATATTAACTTGTCAAACTAGCCCTTTGGCCCCGTTTGTTTTGGGTTATAGCAAGGGGATTAGATTACTAGTACTTGGGATTAGTATATGGGGTGTTTGTTTTGAGAGATAGCCTTGGGACTATGGCTATTTTTGGGAAGTTGGCTTTTAGTCACTTTTTTGGTTTGTAGCAAAAGCTAAAAGTTGGCTTTTTTGTCTTTTTTTTTTCATTTGGGAAGTTGGTTTTTAGCCACGGTGAAATTACAATTTTACCCTCTTGGGTCAAAATGTGTTACATAGGTAAAGTTATAAATATTTTAAATAAATGGGGGTAGTTTGGTCATTTTATTATGATTTGACATCATAAACAAACATTAATCAAAAAAGTCAAAAATCACTTTTTACCAACTTCCCAAATCATTTGTCTAAAAAAGCCAAAAACTTGGTTAAAAGTCAAAAAATCACTTTTTATCATCTTTCCAAAATAAGCCTATTAATACCTCGGGACTAACTAATACCTTGGTATTACTAATACCTTGTTTGTTTTGAGAGATAGGGAGGGTACTACTAATACCTTGGTATTACTAATATCCTTGGGGAGGGGATTCATAGTGAGGAGGTAGAGATGATTAGAAAAATAGTGAGGGGATTAGAAATTTTTTTTATTATTTTTATTTTTTTATATTGGAAATTTTTTTTAAAATATAATTTTTAATTTTTATATTTTTATTTGTTTTATTATTTTATATAAAATAATTTAACAATTCCTCACTACTAATCCCCTCACTATCAATCCCTCACTAACAATCCCCTCATATTAATCCCCTCACTATCAATCCTCTCCATTCTATCTCTGAAAATAAACGAACCTCACTAACAATCCCTTCACTATAATCCCCTCACTATCAATCCCTCCATTCCACTCTGAAACAAACGGGGCCTTCATCTTACCTCTAGTCCATCCACCGCCACCTCCGGCCCCTTCACCACCCTGTCCATCCCTTCCCACTCATCTCACCAGTTCCAACTACTTTTCACCCATCTCTGCCCACTCCCCAGCTATCTCACTTTCCAAGATTTTTAGACCTTTTTTTTCATTCTAAGAGTGCGTTTGGAAAATAGTTTGATTTTTTGATTTTTTAACTATTTTAATTTAGGATTAAAAATTTTCATTTGCGAAGATGTTTTGATTTTTTAACTCTTTATGAGAGAAAGAATGTAATGATTATAGTTGTATATGGTGACCTATTGGTTAAAAGTTCACTTTCCTTTCTCACAAAAAAATCAAAAAATAACTTTTAACTACCTTTTCAAAATACTTAAATATTTTAACTTATTAAACTAAAAAAATTATTTTACCTTTTTTGTGACTAACAATCCCAAATCTAACCTAACCCATATCATCATTGCTCTCTCCTCGAAGACTTCCCTATCTCTGTGACTCTTTTCTTTTCTTTTTCTTCTCTTGCACAACTCTCTTTCTTTGTCCCCCTCTCTTGGCAAGGGTGGGGAAAGAGAGTTATAGGTTTAGGGTCTAAAAGGTTATATAATTGGGGATGGTATTAAGCTTGTGTTGTTTTCATTTTTTTAAAAATATTTTTTAAAAAATTTTAGCGGTCTTATAAGTAGACTCATAGTTGTGGAAATTAATTTGGAAAATTAATTGTTTTGATTTGATTTTGTAGTATTTTCTTGTAATACATGAGTTTTAAGGGAATTGAGCCATTCAAGTTCATGTTTTGAAGAGACAAAGGAAATGTTTTAAGAAAATCAAGTTTATGGAAATTTGGAATTACTCCTAAAGTTTTGATTTTATAATTAGATTTTTATTTAATCCATGCATGTGATGTAATTTAAGAATTTTATTCAATTTAGATACATTTTAGAACACCCATGATTATAAATCAAGTATTTGGTTAAAAATTGAGTTAAGTTGATTTTGTTATTAATAGTAAAATTGGATCTATTTGTATTACATACATCATGGAATTTCAAGAGGTTGGGAAGTCTAATTTATATTTTAGAATTGTGGGTTGATATAAAGAAGATGAATTAAAACTAAATTTGGGCAATTGGAGCATGGTTTTGAATGAATGTTTTCTAATTGAAAGTGTTTACTAAATCATATAATGGTTCTCCATTTTTGTGTACCAAAAGTACATGTTTAGAGGCTTTGAATACCAAATTTGAACTTCTATTGCAATTTTGGAATTTCAGAATTTACGTTGTCCGCTCGAGCGAAGAAAATCTCGCTCGAGCGTGAAAATCGAGCTCCTAGCAGTTTTTCAAATTTTACAGTCCGCTCGAGCGACCAAAGTGGCGCTCGAGCGGAGACTTTCTTTTCAGCATATTTTGGAAAATTGCATTTAGTTCACATTTTTATTCTCATCTCTTTCCAAACATTTTAGACATGATTTATGACTCAATAAAGATTAATAAGCTACCAATCAACATAGATTAGTTAGTTGAAGAATGAATCATTGATCTAGTGGTAATTGTTTATGAAGCCAAGTAAAAGATCAATCTATTTAGAAAAGAATGGCTTAGTAATGGAAGAATATGTGAATTAAGAACCCGATTTATTTGAATGAGAAAGAATAAGCATAGTAGAACTTCGGACTGTTTAGACGGAAAAAAAAAAGACTAGGAAAGTCAAGTTTAATCAATGGAGTGATATTGTATTTCAATGTGTATATGTTATGTACTTGTGTAGGTCACACACCATTGTCTGGCTGATTTATCTGATATGTCCAGTCCGTCTGATTTGCTTCTGCGGCTATCTGTGAGTAATAACTTTGTAAAATTATGTTCAATGTTAAATATTTTCTGAACATTATAATATGAAATGAATAGTTTCTAAAATACTACACTATGTTTGAAATGAATGAATGATTGTCCAAGATTCTAAAATGTATTCATGGCATCCTTAGCATCATATGATATGCGTCCCTTTATGGGTCATCAGGTCCCTTTTTGGGTCATCGGAAACGTCTCTATGCACATGAGTCATCAGAATGCCTTCAAGGTCGTCCCTTCATGGGTCATCGGATTTGTTAACGCTAATGGATGTACCACGTATGATTATATGCAAAATCTGAATATGAAAATGATTATGAATATGTATATGAATCTGTTTCTGATTTGGAATCTGAATATGCATAAGAATCTGATTTATGATTCTGTGATGGACGTTATTCATTAAAACCCTTTACTCTGTTATTATTCACTGGGCTCTAGCTCACTGTATTATTTATGTATGTAGGTGATCAAGAGCGTGACCAGGCTTAGAGGCATCTACCTAGAATCTATTTTTGTCAGCCAGCCTATGTGCCTCCGTGGAGGTTCCGAATATGTCAAGTGATTATGGCCATATGATTTAAACTTTAAGTTTTGTTTTCGTGTTTGGTTGAACAAGTCTTGCGTATTTTGTAAATAGGGCTAAGTCCCTTTTTGTCTAATTTGTTTATATATAATGACTTAAAGATGATGTGTGTATATGTATATAAATAGTTTAAAATTTTTCTGTCTCATATAAGTCTGCACAGCTCAACGGACGTTGTATATGGTTATTTGCTTCCGCTAGCCCCTAATATTATGTTAATCTGTCTTACAAGCCTTCGGTAATCCCAGGATTACTGGTCGGTTACGATACTAAACCTATAGGGGCGGGTTTGGGTTGTGACACTAACCGCTCGAGCTTAAGAAAGGACGCTCGAGCACCCACTAGCTCGAGCGTAAGAAACGCCGCTCGAGCGTGAAAGACACTCCTCCAGCACTTTTGCAGACGTGTAAAGTACTGAAGGTTTGCAACTCTCACTCGAGCGAATGACCAAAATTTACATATCCCGCTCAAGCGCAATAGTGGCCGCTCGAGCGGAAGACCAAAAATCTAGGTAACACAAGGTTTGAAAACTAAGTAACCCACCTATTCCAAACACACCCACAACACCCAAAGACCAATTTCAAAGGTATACAAGGGAAGAAGGAGATACACAACAATACAAAGGCACTAAACCCGAGTCCGGAACATCACAATAGTCGGGTCAAAACTGGGATTGCTATAGCTTTTTATGAGAAACTCCTCCACTCCAACTGTAGAATGACAAGGAAAGATTGTGCTGAAAATGACCTCGGGGAAAGAGCGCACTCTTAACAATGTACTCCATGTGCCAGAGATTTGCAAGAATTTGATTTCTGGATCATTGTTGATCAAGAATGGGTTTAAATTAGTCTTTGAATCTGATAAGGTTGTACTCTACAAGAGTGGAATGTATGTGGGGTGAGGTTATATGAGTGATAGGCTTTTTAAGCTCAATGTAATAACTGTTGTACCTAATTTGGTTTTTAATAATAAGAACACATCTTTTGTTTATATTGTTGAGTCTTCTTTCTCATGGCATGGTAGATTAGGATATGTTAATTTTAATTATTTACGCATACTTGTTGCTTTAGAATGTTTACCAAACTTAAAAAATTTGATCCTAATCATAAATGTAAGATTTGTGTTGAGGCAAAACTCACAAAGGCATCATTTAATAAAGTAGAAAGAAGTACTGAACCTCTAAGTTTAATTCATACAGATATCTGTGATTTAAAATTTGTTCAAACTAGAGGAGGAAAGAAGTACTTTATTACTTTTATTGATGATTGTATTCGATATTGCTATGTTTACTTATTGAGAAGTAAAGATGAAGTCGTAGAAGCTTTTAGGCAATATAAATTTGAGGTTGAAAATCAACTTGGCAAAACTATAAAGATAGTGAGGAGTGATAGAGGTGGTGACTATGATGCACCATTTGAAGAATTTTGTTCTGAACATGGTATCATTCACCAAACCACTGCACCCTATTTTCCTCAGTCAAATGGAATTACTGAGAGAAAGAATCGAACTCTTAAAGAGATGATGAATGCCCTGTTGATTAGTTCTGGGTTACCTCAGAACTTGTGGGGGGGAGGCGATTTTGTTTGCTAACTTCATCCTTAACAGGGTGCCCCACAAGAAACTCAATTAAACACCTTATCTATTATGGAAAAGTCGACAACCTACTTACAATTATCTCAAAGTATGGGGGTGTTTGGCCAAGGTGGCAATCCCTAGTCCCAAAACGACTAAGATAGGATCAAATACCGTTGATAGTGTGTTCATTGGTTATGCTAATAATAGTAATGCATATAGATTTTTAGTTCATAGATCGAAAAATCCGAATATGCATGTAAACACTATTATTGAGTCAAGAAATGCGTCATTTTTTGAACATATTTTTCCTAGTAAGGAAACTGAAGAGAAAAGTTCAAATAAAAGAACTTTTGATACTGCTGTGGGTAACAGTGAAGACCACAATAATAATGAATCAGATAAACCTAGACGTAGCAAGAGGGCTAGGATCTCTAAATCATTTGGTCTAGATTTTCTGATATATCTGTTAGAAAATGAGCCTCAAAACTTCAAGAAAGTAATGTCAAGTCCTGAAGCTCCATTGTGGAGAGAGGCTGTGAATAGTGAAATTGAATCAATACTGCAAAATCATACTTGGGAACTGGTAGATTTTCCACTAGGGTGTAAACCTTTTGGATATAAGTGGATATTCAAGAGAAAAATGAAAGCAGATGGTTCAATAGATAAATACAAGGCTAGGCTTGTTGTTAAGGGATACAGGTAGAAGGAAGGCCTTGATTATTTTGACACCTATTCACCAGTGACAAGAATAACATCCATTCGCATGTTGATTGCGATTGTAGCTTTGTATAATTTGGAAATACATCAAATGGATGTTAAAACAGTTTTTTTGAATGGCGAGTTAGATAAAAAAATCTTTATGGAACAACCAGAAGGGTTTCAAGTTCCCGGCCAAGAGAAAAAGGTTTGTAAACTTGTCAAATCCCTTTATGGATTAAAACAAGCCCCGAAACAATGGCATGAAAAATTTGATCACGCTATGCTTTCGGATGGTTTTAAGATAAATGAATGTGACAAATGCGTCTGTGTTAAAAGCACAGACAAAGGCTATGTCATAGTTTGTCTTTATGTAGATGACATGCTCATTATTGGAAGCAATAATGACATAATTAAATCCACAAAGAAAATGTTGAACAAAAAGTTGACATGAAAGATCTGGGAGTAGCAGATGTAATTCTAGGAATAAAAATTACTAGAACATCTGAAGGATATGCTTTATCTCAGTCTCACTATGTTGTCTCAGTCTCACTATGTTGAGAAGGTTTTGGAGAAATTTGGAAAGCATGACAACCGTCCTGCTAAAACACCTGCTGACATTAGTCTTCATTTGTCAAAAAATACAGGTGCAGGAATATCACAATTAGAATACTCTCGGATAATCGGAAACTTGATGTACTTAATGAATTGCACTAGGCCAGATATGGCCTATGCTGTAAGCAAATTGAGTAGGTACACGAGTAATCCAGGGTTCGATCATTGAAAAGCGATAATTAGGGTACTTAGGTATCTAAGACATACCCAGAATTATGACCTTCATTATACCAAATATCCAGCAGTACTCGAGGGGTACAGTGATGCAAATTGGATATCGGATACTAAAGACTCAAAATCCACTAGTGGATATGTCTTTACCTTAGGAGGTGTTGTAGTCTCTTGGAAATCTTCCAAGCAAACATGCATAGCTAGGTCGACAACGGAATCTGAGTTTATCGCATTAGATAAAACAGGAGAAGAAGCAGAATGACTTCGTAATTTCTTAGAAGTCATTCCAATGTGGCCTAAACCTGTGCCAGCTATATGCATTTACTGTGATAGTGAAGCATCAATAGGACAGGCACAGAATCATATATATAACGGTAAGTCTTGATATATTCGAAGACATGATACCGTTAGGCATTTGCTCTCACATGGAATAATTTCCATAGAATATGTAAAGTCAAAGGAGAAAATTGCGAATCAATTGACTAAAAGGCTAGCCAGAGAACAAGTGTACCATTTATCGAGGGGAATGAGATTAAAGCCTATTATATAAAAGTCGCCATAATAGTAACCTAACCTAGTTGATTGGAGATCCCAAAATCTAGGTTCAAAGGAACAACCGAATTATGGATGACTTTACGTATAAAAAAAATAAAATTGATTTTAAAGTTTTTAAATTTTTTGAAAACATAAATAATGTTTTTTAACTTGTTTTAGATGATGTTTTGAAAACATAAATAACGTTTTGAAAACATAAATTTTTTAACTTGTTTTTTAACAAGTTTTCACTTTCTCTTCTTGCCTTCTGCCAAAACCCACCGTCACCACTAACGTAGCCACCAACTACCGACCACCACCTACCCCCGTCATTGGTGTGTGGCGACCTCCGGCCACTCTCCGGAGTGTAGGCGGTCACCATTGTGATATTCAGCCACCTTTCAGCGTTCTTCCAGCCACCTCATGTCCTTCGACGGCATCTGATACCATGAACATCGTTAGACACCTTTGCCTACTTAGCACTACCAGTCACTACATCCGTCCACCCTTTATCTCCGGCCACCAAATTCAGCAACTCATCAAATATATTTCCCAATTTTTATTTTTATTTTTATTTGTTTTCAAAATATTTTTATATATCAAACAAGTTTTATGTTTTTTTTTAAACTAAAAATTGGAACCTAAAAATGTTAACAAACAAGGCCTTAGAATTGGTTTTTTTTAATCAAGTTTTTTAGTTGAGTTTTCATAACTTATTTTAAAAATATTTTTTGAAAAATTAAAAATTAATTTGACAAAAATAAATAACAAAAAATATATTTTGAATTTTTTAAAATTATTTATTCTCCAAAAAAGTGAAAATTAAATGAAAATAATGTATTTTTTTATTTTTTTCGCCAAATTAGTTTTTAAAAATTTTAAGAAAACATATTCTTAATTTTTTTTTTGAACTAATATTCTTAAAAATTCAACCAAACATATTTGTATTTAAATTGGACTTTTTAAAAAACATCTAAAAACCCAAAAAATAAAAATGTTCGTTAAGCGCTTTAACAATATACATTGCCAAACACAATTCTATTTAAGAAAGACTTTTTGTGAAGGACTTTGGTTAAAGTCCATTGTTAAATTTTAATATTTTCAATTTATCCAAATTTATATAAGAAGAGACTTTAACCAATGGACTTTAAAGTCTAATTCTATTATCCGAAATTTTCAAAGTCGATGTATATTTGTAATTTATTCAAAATTATATGAGAGAAAAAGGCAATAAAATAAAATATATATAAAAAGAAGAAGACGAAGAAGAAGAAGAAGATCAAGAGAGGGGAGAGGAGATAGTGATTGACAACTTAGCTCACACAGAGGGGAGGGGGAGACGGAATGAGTGAAACGGTAGGCCTGGATACGATTTTTTTTTTTAAATTTAATTATTTTATTCTATACATATATATTATTGTATATATTCAAATAAAGTAGACTTCAATCTTATATACATACTTGATTGGTTGGTTCTATCCATGTAAAAAAATGCGTGATAAAAAATACTT